CAGCGCCTCCGGGACCCAGGCATTAGGTTAAGGGGGCCTGGGGGGTGCCTGGCTCTGGGGGAGGGGGGAGGCATTAGGTTAGAGGAGGGGGATTGGATTAGAACAGGGGTATGGGAGTGCCTGGCTCTGGGGGAAGAGGAGGGAAATATTTTATTTATTTATTCCCAAATAAAATCACAAAATGTATATTAATTTTATATCAAGAAATGTCAATTTTTTGCAGTTGCATGAATATTATATGTTTATGCAAAATCTCAAACTTACAAAGTATCTGAAATTTTCACAGAAGCCTGTTCTAGTTGATTAACCACGGTCTATACTTGTTTTTATTTCAACAAAACAAGTTAGGTATCTTAAATACCTTAAATTTATATTTAAATTAAAATTATTTTATATGGGTAAATAACAATTTTACAGATCAAATTATTGTATTATAGTAAAACAAGACCTGAAAAATTATAAAATATACCTAAAACAATCTATAATAAATTATTATGAATTTCCGATAGAAGTACAGTTTCTTTGGTGGCCCTGAAAGCTATCAGTTTTCGCTTGTGTGGCCCTCAGTAGACTTTGAGTTTGACATGCCTGCCATACAGCCTTGTTCCTACCAGGGTTGTAAATTTTTCTTTTCGGTATGGCAACCTGTAAAATGTGCTGGTGGATTTTGTCATCTGCTTTCCAGAGCTTAAGTCAAATCCTTTTTAGGCTATGTGATTAATCCCACTTACTTCAATGGGACTTTTGTGTAAATAAGGTGAGCAGGCTTTAGCCTTCTACATTGCACCAGTGTGTATCATTACATTTATTAATCTAAATGTGGGTTATTGCTGATTATGTACTATATGTATTGTATGACTTGTGAACTAATCTTTGTACTTTTGGATAATTTAAGCACTATACCAAAATGCACAGGCACTCTTTTTTAACCTGTGTATTTATATAATTTTAACATAAGCTTTAATAACATTTTTGTTATTGTGAAAATGCAAATAGAGTGTAAATCAGAATAGAACAGTCATCTGCCACCTGATGCACTATTCAATGTTTTATATTATGTTCTGTTTTTTCCTCCCCCCAACCCCAGGAACCTTGTTTCTGACAAACAGGACTCCTTAGCACAATGTGCAGACTACAGGAATAGTTTACCATCACAAGAAGCCATGCTGTGTTCAGGACCTTTAGCCATAATACAGGGATGGACATCAAAGTATGTATTTAGACATTATATTTGTGTTCACTGTTCAGCCCAGTGGTCTGTTTCTGCTTCACATACAGTCAACTGAATTGTCTGGGGTTAACTTCTGTTGTGCTATCTAGTTTCAATGTGACTAAATGCTTGAGTTACTTAGTTATTTTCAGAAATATCAGTGGGTTGGAGTTCTCCTCTGTCAATCAAATTCATACGGAGTTTGTTTAAACTTTTTACCTTTGTAACCTTGTATCTGGTTAGCTCAGGGACTATTTGGGTAGTAGGAAGGTGGCTGCACACTATGCTTAATAATTCTACTTTTTATGATTCTTCTTTACCTGTTGGTGCAGTGTTTCTCATTTATGTTTATAGAGTATCACTTTGTTTATTTAAATTGGATTTCTTACATTTTGATTTTATGACTGACTTATTGGACTATCACCCCAAAAGTGACTTGGTCTACAAGCTTCAATTTTGGCTTACTCAATTGTCCTTAGTTGACTTATTCATTGGACTCTTCAAATGTTTTAGGGACGATTGGATGGGTAATTAGTTACTTGCTGCATATTTTTAACTACTGATGATATCACCAGGGAATAGCAAGAGCCAGTGGAGGTTTCCCTAGATAGTTCAGTAGCTCATCTTCACCTGCCACTTGCATCCCTGGCTTCTAATTTATATACTCCTTCATAGCCTACTTGGATTTTATTTTACTAATTTTTATGCCCAAATGAGAGAGGCTTTTTTTTTTTTTTTTTTTTTTACGGAAAAAAAAAAAATTGGATTTAAAAAAGAAAGAATGGAAATAATAGTTTGAATCTATTCTGTCAAAAAATGCAGATGAAAAATTAGTTAAGGGTTTGTAAAGATGTTTTCATTACTTCAAAAAGTAAATGTATTAGAACATTATAGTTAACTTAAAAAAAAAAAAAGATTGTCCAGCTTTTTACAAAGACTATTTATAAAACTAGCTTTCATTTACTTTCTTGGCTTTCACATGTTTTTGGGTAAGGATTAAGGAGTGTTCTGAAGGGTTATATAAACATACAGAAGACAACTCCTACCCTGAAGAGCTTATAACATTCAAGAGAAAAAACAGGTGAGGGGAAGCTGCACAAGAGCAAAGTGGGATCAGGATGATGCTAGGAACTTATTGTGGTAGTTAAATTTTGTTCATTTGGTTACGTGTTTGATTTTGTAATATAAATGAAACTGTGCAAACTGAGCTTTGCTGTGGTGGAGGGGAGTGGTACACACTCCGGACTGAAGCGGGCAAAAGGAAGAGGTTATAGGGGTGGAGAGGAGAGCGAGCGGTAATTGAGGTTGTGGTGAAGAACCCCAGTGGGCAAGGGACAGTGGGGCTAGGCACCTGAGAGGTTTCAGTGGTAGAAGAGGGATAGGTGACAAGGAAGAAGTGATCAATGCAATATAGTAAAATCCAGAGCCAGTGTTTTCAAGTTGAGTGAATGGTTTCTGGAGGCTCCTATTGATTATTGCTCCTTAGGTGGAAAGGCTGAAGGGAATGGGGGACCACTGAGCCTAGTGCCCTGGTGGGTCGTCTGGGTCTTGTGCCAATGTAGAGGTTCTAAGACAGGGGTGGGCAAATTCCCCACCCGGCCCCTCCCCCGCCCCCCAGGCCAATCCAGGTCTGGGGACGGGGGAGCATACAAAGTCTTCTCCCCTGCCAGGGGCGCGCAGCGCTTAGTCAACCACCGTGGTTGACTTTAAACACTGCACTCCCC